AAGACAACACACTTCTGTGGTCTTGACTGCCACGAGACAGTTCTTCTTGCAAAAGTAAATAAGAATCCTAAAGTAGATTTTCTACCATCGAGGTCACCCGCAATATCTGCATCTGTAAGGCCCTCCAAAACCGATTTCAAACCTCCAAAAGTTAAGCTCATCTTTGAAATACCTCTCAAGTATGTAAAGATCCATTTCACTGCTTCCCAATGATCTTTATCAGGATTCACAAGAAACTTGCTAACCATCCCAACTGCATAAGCAATGTTTAGCCATATACAAACTGGAGCATACATCAAATTTCCAACCGCAGATGAGTGAGGAAACTCTGCCATTCTTTCTTCATCCTCCTTCTTAGAAGGACGAGATATTTTACTCAATTTGAAGTTACTACCAAATGGTGTCCCAACTGGTTTAACATTTTTCATGTGAAACATTTCCAGCATTCTTTCTACATATCTCTTTTATAATAGCCATAACTTTTCAGTTTTCCTTCACGACAAATATGCACCCCCAAAATTTGTTGTGTTGGGCTAAGATTCTTTATGTCAAACAACTTGAACAATCTGCCTTCAAACTGCGAATGAACTGAACATCTTGTCCACTATCAACATGTCATCTACATATAATAAAAGGATAACGAAATTACAATAATGGAATTCTCTAACATAAACGCAATGATCTTTGCCCATCCTGATATAACCATGACCTACCATAAAAGGAAACAAACTTCTTATACCACTATCTTGGAACCTATTTGTAAGATCCAAACTAGCTACTAGATTCAAAACCACTTGAATGGAAGTCATTTCACGAAAGGAGATGATATCTCACCAAAGTCAATCATTTTCTTCTGACTGGATCCTTTTATCACTGATCAAGCCTTATACTTTACTAGATTTTCACCATATTTCTTTAGCTTGATCACCCATTTATTTTTCATTGCCTTTTTACCTTTAGAAAGCTTTGCTGGCTTATAAGTGTTAATCTTCTACAAAGAATTCATCTTTTCCTGCATAGCCACCTTAATCCAACTCTGTTTATCATTATGAGATTGTACTACATGAAGCACCTAGCTCTTCCTCATCAGTTATCAACACATAATTTGATATAGTATACCTAGTTGATGGATGATGATCCCTAATAGACCTAATCAGAGATCTGATGTGGTAGATTGTTCTCCTTGCTTAACATCGACTAGATCATCCTTATCAATTCCTGCTAGCTCATCAGTATGACTGTCAACATGGGATAATTGAGTGGCACTATCTAGAGGCAAAGAGACGTGTGTAAGGTCAGCGACACCCTCAGCAACACGTCTTTGATCCCTAGATCTTTCAACGTCTGCCAACTTCTAGTTTTCATGGAAAATCTCATCTCTGGTTTTTATTATTTTCTTCTTTTTCAGATTCATAGTGTATAGCCAAATTTTGCATCTCTATAGCCAACAAAAATGTAAACACTAGCTCTATCATCTAGTTTCAACCATTATTCTTTAAGCACGTATGCAAATGTCTTGGACCTAAAAACCTTCTGGTGTAATAAGAAACATTCTTTCCCAATCCACACCTTATCTGGAGTCTCAAAACCCAAAGAAACCGATGGAGACCTGTTGATTAGGTAGCATGTCATACGAACAGCTTTATCCTAGAATGACTTGGTAATCCAACCATTATTGACATGCTTCTGACCTTTTCTATAATGGTATAGTTCATTCTTTTTGCTACACCGTCGTGTTATGGGGTATCATGAACTATCTTCACATGTCTAATACCATGCTCTAAGCATTAATCTTCAAACACTTTAGATGTGTATTTCCCTCCCTTGTTAGTTCGGATCTCCAACTTTCATGAAGCATCATCAATAAAAGTAAGAAAATACTTATTACCACATAAAGACTCTACCTCAATAGGACCATAACATTAAAATATATATCTAAAATATTGGATTTCTATTAGAGGACTTTTGAAAGGAAGCCCTATGATGTTTACCAAGTAACACATGAGTTTAGTAATATACCTTTGGTAAAAGGAATGAGGGACTTCCTTGCCAAAGTCTACAATCTTTTATCACTTATGTCAGCCAGCCTCTTGTGCCACAAGTTCAGCGAAGAATCACTTTCAGTTGTATTCATCGCTTAACTATGTACCCTTACTTGTTTTCTTATACAGTATAACAAACCTTTTATTAATTTCTATCTTTCGCTGCGAAGATCTAAGCACTTGTCTGGAACATGCCGCATATTCTACAGTGTCAATTTGCATCCAATATCTATCTGAAGATAATGATCGCTGATTACCACAATGCTGGAAAAACTGTCATTGCCCATCTTCATCCTACCAAGATTACTTGATTTATGCAAAGTGAAAAGCTCCCGTCTTGGAGTAAAATGGTAAGAAACCACTAAGTCAATAATTCACTCAACAAATGAATCTGCAACATGACAATATTTCTCATCTTCAACAGAAAACTGATACTACTACTTCATCATCTGAAATGCTAGCCAAGATACTCTGATCAATCTTATTCTCTTTTTACTTACTTTTCCAAGCCTTACAATGTTTCGTTATGTAACTTTCTTATCATAAAAATAAAACTTAATCAGTTTTTTGCCTTTCGACTGACTTCTGAATTTCTTGTACCCTTTAGATTCTCTACCCTTATTCCTTTCCCTGTTCTCTGCAATAAGAATTTGCTTGTTTTCTTTGCCCATATCACTCTTTCTTGTCTCTTCATTAAACAAGCTGTCTTAATCATACTAAGTTGTAATACACCATTTGGAGTAGAATTACTAAGTGATGCCACCAAAGTTTTCCAATAGTCTGGCAAAGAACTCAAAAGCAATTGTGCCTATAACTCATCGTCTAGCGTTATCTTCATGGTAATCAATCGATTTACCAAGTCTTGGAAATCAATCAAATGCTTTGCAACAAACTTTTCCTTTTTCAAGCTTTAGATTTACAAGCTTTTTGATTGTAAAATCTTTATTCTAAATCGAATTCCTCTCATAGAGACCCTCCAATTTCTTCCATCGTTCGGTAGCATCTGTCTTTTGAGATACGTGATGAAAAAACAAAGGTCAATCAACTGTCTAATATTCCCAATAGTCTTTTGACTTTTTCCCCATTCGATGACTGATTGAGTGCTTGGCTTGGTACTATCACCCTCAATAGAGTCATGCAAATCCTTACAATAAAACGATGTCCTCCATTGTTGGCTTCCAGATGGAATAATTAGATGTTGTCAGTCCAATCATATTACTCGGACTATTCTCCATTCAATTTACACAAGATAGTTAACCCACACCTTGAACCTGGCTCTAATACCACTCTGTTGAGCCAAACTACTATCATGTGCAAGTTAAATAACAACCCCAAGCATATAGAGAAAACAAACAAGCAAACAAAGGAATATCAAAGACAGCGCAACACAAGAGAACACGCCAAATTAACATGGAAATCCTTCAATATAAAGGGAAAAAGTCATAGGGCAACTTCAAGACAAATCCACTATAATAAATAGAGATTATAAAATTCAAATTTATGTCCAAAACATGAAAGTAAATAGGCTGAAAATCAACAAGTTCAATCCACAACACTCAATTGATAAAGCACCAAAAACTTTCTTAGAGAAACTCTAATTTGCTCTATATGAAAAACCACAACCAAAAATTAAAAGAAAGACTTTTTCCCATTCTGTGCTGCAACCCCCTATTTTTCTTCTCTATTGCAACCTATTTTCTTTTTCTCTTGTAGTAACATGTGTTGACCTACGTTAATTTATTATGGTGGATTGGGCCCATTAAATTCCCCATGAAACACATCAATCGTGCTAGACGAACATGGCCATGTTGGTCCTATCTGTCCAGGGGCCTAATGTGGCGTCCCCTTATAGGTAGGATGCCTGTCCTCGACAAGCACCCCGCTTATAGAGCGCCACATTGCCCTAGCCTATTCGTACAACATTATTCGAAACACATAAAACCTTCTTTATCAATGTTATCTTCTTTTATTTAACATTTCAAGAGAGAGATTATGTAAAATATTTTAAAAATTGGAGATTGGCCACTCTCACCCAGAGGATCATATTCGGCTTACACATCTACTTCACGCAGCTCCAAGACTATCAAAGAATGTAGTATCAAATTTTAGGTAAGTTTAAGAAAAATAAGTAATGATAAATTAGTAATATTATCTGATTTTTAAAAATTATTGTTTAGCACATAAAATATTTTTAAAAAATAGTTGGGGGATGATCACCCTGATCTCATGGTGTAAATTTGGCTCGACTCATTTGTTTCCAAAAATAGTCTTAAGAAATTAAATTAATAAGTTGCACAAGATGACGAGCGTCTGGGTGGTGTAGTTGGTTATCACGCTAGTCTCACACACTAGAGGTCCCCGGTTCGAACCCGGGCTCAGACATCATATTTTAAATTTTTCTCACTCCAATTGTTCTGTCACGGGTTGGATTTGTACCCTCTTTACTTTTGGAGTATAATAATTATAATATTGCCTGCCACTTTTTAGACTATGCTGTCTCATTCTTCAACTAAATCCATGTATTATGTACATAATCCGCAACGAGTTCTCTATTATCCCTCAATAAAATAGAAAATCACATTGTCATGGAGATTATATACTCTTGTAAGTATATACTACGTTAATTGGACGAGCCTCTTTTTCTTTCTTGTTGAATCAAGACGAGAGCAAATCCACGAAAAAATTCATGCCAAACTTGAGATAGTAAAGCTTGACGTCATTAATCTATCAACTTAAGGATGACATTCTACCGTTAAGCTATATTCATTCCCTACGGCTGTGGAGAAATAGAACGAACTAATCTAAATTGAAAGGATTTGGAAAATCAACACCACTATTCTTAAATTTCGTACTTTTACCTTATTTCTCGTTCACCTTCATAGACTAATCCGCTGAGTTCATGGTTTAAATTGTACGACCACCTCAATGCAGGCCACCGTCATCAATTACCTATTCACCTTGGTCAAGATTACAAATATATTAAAACCAAAGACGAGCACATCAACCAGGACCACAAGATGGCCTGAGCATCATCCTCAAGTTTTACACGCGATGTGCCTTTTCGAGTTACATCTGGCAAGATTTCTACGGGGTAAATTGCAAGTATCTCAGAGCTCTAACTGATGCATCCATATTAGCTGAACTAAGAGGAAACGACCGCGTTAGTTCAAAGAAATTCTAAACCTCGGAAACTGTGATAGAACCAGAATTTGGCATATATACATACTATAAGGGGAACTGATGTTTACAACTATGTACATTCAACCAAAAATGCTCGAAAAACCTCTTCAACCAAGTTCTCTGTCTTCAGAAAAGGAAGGCCATCCATTCGAACTGTGCTTAAAATGTCTCTTTCTTTTCATGTTGACTTGTACTTGAATCCTTTTTTCGTTTGCCATTGCTTCTTGGATATTTCTATGAACCTGCTTGCAAAGTTCGTCAAGAGCAAGCATTGCGAAGGGTTCTTCAATAAGAACACCAACCTGCATAGAAATCTTGATGTTAGATCACAAACTACTAGTGCCAAACAAATTAATGCGATTTTTTTTTTCCTAGGGTCTGGTGGGGTTCCAATCTAAATGAGCAGTAGGGTCCTCATTCATTTTTCTTGATGAACGGGCCTCCAACCTTCAGTTTTTTTAGCAAGTGGATTCCCATAAACGAATTTCATTCAAAAAAGTCTATTCAAATGGCTCAAGTTGTGCAAGTGAAACACCAGTTTTTTCTTAAATGGAAAAATAAAAGAATGAAGACTCATCTTCTTACCCAACCTGCGACCCTCCACCCTTAAAACGGTATTGGTTATATACTTGACCATTAATAAGATTTCCAATCACAGACTGGGAGTAAAAAATCAGCGAAATTGTGTTCTATGATCATTAAACCCGACAGAAAGATAATTTGAAACATATTTTCTATCTACAGACTTGTATAAACTTGTGGTTTAGCAATGTGGATTTATAGTACTTGACAGTATTAAGAAAGAAAAAGACGTTAAAATTTTTTATGCACTGTATTATTGTGTCTATTACTGCATAAAAAACATGCTCAAATGTGTGCATTTTTCTATTCCACAATGAAAAATGTACCTCCTCTATGCAAAATAAACAAGCAGCGCTGACAACAAAAAAAATAAAAATAAAATAAAATATGCGTAAATGGCTAATCGCTCGGTCACTCCCAAATCCAAAAGAAGCCCTAAAATCTCTCTATTCCCCCTCCCTCTCCCTCAGTCACTCCCAAATCTAAAAGAAGCCCTTTAATGATTTGAAGCATGTTGTATTGATGAAATTTTTTTACCTTATAAGTTCCAATCCCGTCCCACTATTAGAGAATTTTGTGAGAAACCAACTTCTAAATTGGTTGTGATTTCTGCTCTTTAGTGTCTCAGTTGAATTTTATCTATGCTGTGGTAATCAGTTTTGTAAATTTTGAGGTTCTGGGACTATATTAGTGATGCTTTACACCCAAAAATGAATAACTTTAATCTTTATTAACAAGTTGTCCTAAACCGACCAACCCAACCCAACCCGACCGATACTTGATTGGGTTGGGTTGGGTTGGGTTGGGTTGGGTTTCAAACTTTACACGGGTTGGGTTGGGTTAAATTTCGACCAAACCGATCATGTTGGGTTGGATTAGGGTTGGGGCGAAAACCGACCCAACCCAACCCACGCCCACCCCTAGTTGTAATACACCATTCGGAGTAGAATTACTAAGTAACATGACAAAAGTTTTCCAATTGTTTGGCAAAGAACTCAAAACAATTGTGCCTATAACCATCGTCTAGTGCTATCTTCATGGTAATAAACCGATTTACCAAGTCTTGGAAATCAATCAAATGCTCTGCAACAGACTTTTCCTTTTTTAAGCTTTAGATTTACAAGCTTTTTGATTGTAAAAGCTTTATTCTATATCGAATTCCTCTCATAGAGACCCTCCAATTCTTCCATAGTTTGCTAGCATCTGTCTTTTAAGATACGTGATGAAAAAACAAAGGTCAATCAACTGTCTAATATTCCCGATAGTCTTTTGATTTTTTTCCCCATTCCATAGCTGATTCAGTGCTTGGCTTGGTATTATCACCCTCAATAGAGTCATGCAAATCCTTACAATAAAACGATGTCCTCCATCGTTGGCTTCCAGATGAAATAATTAGTTGTCGTCAGTTTAATCATATTACTCGGACTATTCTCCATTCAATTTACAAAAGACAGTTAACCCACACCTTGAACCTGGCTCTGATACCACTCTGTTGAGCCAAATTACTGTCCCGTGCAAGTTAAATAACAAACCCCAACCATATAGAGAAAACAAACAAGCAAACAAAGGAATATCAAAGACAGGGCAACACAAGATAACACACCAAATTAACATAGAAATTCTCTAATGTAAAGGAAAAAAATCATGGGACAACTTCGAGACAAATCCACTATAATAAATAGAGATTATAAGATTCAAATTTATGTCCAAAACATGAAAGTAAACAGGCTGAAATCAACAAGTCAATCCGCAACTCTCAGTTGATAAAGCACCAAAAACTTTCTTAGAGAAACTCCAATTTGCTCTATATGAAAAACCACAACCAAAAATTAAAAGAAAGACTTTTTTTTCCCATTCTGTGCTGCAACCCCCCCCCCCCTCTCTCTCTCTCTCGTAGTAACATGTGTTGACCTGCATTAATTTATTAAGGTAGATTGGGCCCACTAAATTCCCCATGAAACACATCAATCGGGCTAGACGGATAGGGCTGTGTCAGTCATATCTGTCTAGGGGCCTAATGTGGTGCCCCCTCATAGGTAAGATGCCTGTCCTCGACAAGCACCCCACCTATAGAGTGCCACGTTTCCCTGACCCTGTTCGTACAAAATTATTCGAAACACATAAAACCTTCTTATATCAATGTTATCTTCTTTTATATAACGTTTCAAGAGAAAGATTATGTAAAATATTTTAAAAATTGGTGATTGGCCACTCTCACCCAGAGGATCATATTTGGTTTACACATCTACTTCACGTAGGACGTAGCTCCAAGATTATCAAGGAATGTAACATCAAATTTTAGGCGAGTTTAAGAAAAATAAGTGATAATAAATTAGTAATATTCTCTAATTTTTAAAAAATTATGGTTTTGCACATAAAATATTTAAAAAAAATGGTTGGGGGATGATCACCTTGACCTCGTGGTGAAATTTTGGCTTAACTCATTTGTTTTCAAAATTATAGTCTTAAAAAAATAAAATAACAAATTGTGCACAAAGGGACTGCTGTCTGGGTGGTGTAGTTGGTTATCACGCTAGTCTCACACACTAGAGGTCCCCGGTTCGAGCCCGGGCTCAGACAACATATTTTAAAATTTTCTCACTCCAATTCTTCTGCCACGGGTTGGACTTGGACCCTCTTTATTTTTGGAGTATAATAATTATAATATTGCCTGCCACTTTTTAGATTTTGCTGTCTTATTCTTCACCAACTAAATCCATGTATTATGTACTTAATCCGCAACGAGTTCTCTATCATCCCTCAAGAAAATAGAAAATCACATTGTCATGGAGAGGATATACTCTTGTAAGTATATGTTACGTTACTTGGACGAGCCTCTTTTTCGTTCTTGTTGAATCAAGACGAGAGAGCAAATCCACAAAAGAATTCACGCCAAACTTGAGATAGTGAAGCTTGTCGTCATTAATCTATCAAGTTAAGGATGACATTCTACCGTTAAAGCTATATTCATTCTCTACAGCTGCAGAGAAATAGAACGAACTAATCTATATTGAAAGGAGTTGGAAACTCAACACCACTATTCTTAAATTTTTCGTACTTTTACCTTATTTCTCGTTCACCTTCATAGAATAATCCGCTGAGTTCGTTGTTTAAATTGTACGACCACCTCAATGCAGGCCACCGTCACCAATTACCTATTCACTTTGGTCAAGATTACAAATATATTAAAACCGAAGACGAGCACATCAACCAGGTCCACAAGACGGCCTGAGCATCATCATCAAGTTCTACACGTGATATTCCTTTTTGAGTTACATCTGGCAAGATTTCTACGGTGTAAATTGCAAGTATCTCAGAGCTCTAACTGATGCAACCATATTAGCTGAACTAAGAGGAAACGACCGCATTAGTTCAAAGAAATTCTAAACCTCGGAAACTATGATAGAACCAGAATTTGGCATATATACATACTAGAAGGGGAACTAATGTTTACAACTATGTATATTCAACAAAAAATGCTCGAAAAACCTCTTCAACCAAGCTCTCTGTCTTCAGAAAAGGAAGGCCATCCATTCGAACTGTGCTTAAAATGTCTCTTTCTTTTCATGTTTACTTGTACTTGAATCCTTTTTTCGTTTGCCATTGCTTCTTGGATATTTCTATGAACCTGCTTGCAAAGTTCATCAAGAGCAAGCATTGCGAAGGGTTCTTCAATAAGAACACCAACCTGCAGAGAAATTTTGATGTTAGATCACAAACTACTAGTACCAAACAAATTAAAGCGATTTTTTTTTCCAGGGTGTGGTGGGGTTCCAATCTAAATAAGCAGTAAGGTCCTCGTTCATTTTTCTTGATGAACAGGCCTCCAACCTTCAGTTTTTGTAGCAAGTGGATTCCCATAAACGAATTTCGTTCAAAAAAGTCTATTCAAATGGCTCAAGTTGTGCAAGTGAAACACCAGTTTTTTCTTAAATGGAAAAATAAAAGAACGAAGACTCATCTTCTTACCCAACCTGCGACCCTCCACCCTCAAAACAGTATTGGTTATATACTTGACCATTAATAAGATTTCCAATCACAGACTGGGGGTAAAAAATTAGCGAAATTGTGTTCTATGATCATTAAATCCGATAGAAAGATAATTTGAAGCATATTTTCTATCTACAGACTTGTATACACTTGTGGTTTAGCAATGTGGATTTATAGTACTTGACAGTATTAAGAAAGAAAAAGAAGCTAAAATTTTATGCACTGTATTATTGTGTCTATTACTGCATAACAAACATGCTCAAATGTGTGCATTTTTCTATTCCACAATGAAAAATGTACCTCCTCTATGCAAAATAAACAAGCAGCGCTGACAAAAGTCGCAGGTACAACAATCCAGTGACATTCATCCCACAGTATAATGGGAAGAGTAAAATGCCACAAGACTAATAATCTTGAGGTCAGTCTAGTGTATGAGAGAGGGATAGGTATGCCTATCAGCTGTTCACATACTCCGATACCATCATGAAAGCAAGAAATTTTCGACTCCTGCAATAAAATCCAGAAAGTGTTAAATCATCTCGTCTAATAAAGTTAAGATCTCTGGTGTGGACAAGAATTACTTCATTTATTTCATCTCAGACGTGAACGGATTCAATTACTATTGGAGACATAAGATGTGGAATTTCTATAAACGGGTGACTGTGTGAGTTAAAATCAAAATGCTTTGATTTATCGAGTCTAAAATGATAATGAATTAACCCTAATCCCAACCACAGAGCAATATAAACAAAACAAAATGGGAAAAATGCACATACACAAAAACAAAAAATTATCGCAAGTTTACCATGAATATGAGAGCTACAACCACTTGCCCATCTGGGCCATCTCAAGTTTATTCTAAAACTCGTGAAGAAGTTTACAATGAAGATAATGTGCCTCTCTCAATCTGTGCATAAAAAAAAGGCTCACCCTAATACCTTTATATATGAATAATGGAGCTTACCAACATCTGGCGCTGTGTGTCCTCCATATTTAACAACCAAATGCTTTGAGATATGAAGTTGATGATGCATTGGGGACGATGTTTTGAACTGAGGACTACTTCTAGATCATCGACTTCAAGCAAATTTTGAAGATCCATTGCGATATCTGAGCCATAAATAATATGGCACTGCATGTAGAAATGTATACCATAAACTTGTGTCTTTGACAAAAATGTAACAAAGATTGATATCTGAACTAATAGTGTGCATGCCTCAATTATAAAATGAAGGGTCCTAATTTTCAATAATATCGAAAACTAATGAAGAAATAGAATGCAGGTAAAGAGAAAGTGTCCTCTGATGCACAAACTAATTTATTTATATTGGCTTCAAACACTCTCTTTACCTGCAGACCATATTCATTTTTTCCATCAAAGGCCTGGCACGAGCACAATATTTAGCCCTTGTTTGGCCCCAATTAAAATTATAATTCATTTTTCTGTTTCTTCTTATCATCCATACATTTTCTATTAAAATAATATTATACGTAATTCCAAAACATTTTCCTTTTAAGCCACGCATTCTTCAAAAAACACTTTTCCAACCATTAGAATTTCAATTAATGGGGGCCAAATGGGTGCTTATAAGTGGGGGGCACTGAGCCTTATACGCAAGATTTCTCTCCTCCCAAACCATATTTAAACCACCTCGTCTAAAATTGACAAACTTGTATTTTTGGGTTGCCTACAAACACATATTTCTAAGATTCTTGAGCTTTGAAAGAAATGCACGTCATCATAAACGGTAGAGATAAAAAAACAAAAAAGTTCACTTACCTTAAGGGCAACTGGAAATGCCATGATATACTGCAAAAGCGCCTTTTTGATCAAAACATCACTTGCACTTCCCACGCTAGCAATAACTTGCCTTGCCAAGTCATTTGTTCCTGCAAGAACCTTAGTCCAGGCCTTCCTCCCTTCCTCGTACCTCGAATACGATGCCTCAGTCCTAAAGACCAACAAAAGTGCCAAGGCCGGTGCTGCCAACTGATAGGGCAAAGAAGAGGCTCTCAAAATGGGGAAAAACTCCGGTAGCCAATGCAATGATACTGCTGAATTATAACTGGCTATAATTACAGCCACTGAAGTAAATGCAATCACTGGAGGAACCAGCGATAAAATCACCCGCGAACTGAGACTCGATAAAAGATGCCTTAAATGCCTTAAGGAGCTTCTGTGCTGCACCCATTTTTCATGGTCATATAAGGACCTTTTCTGTTTCATACCCCTTTCTTTCACACTGTCAGCCCAGTTGGGTATTGCATGAAGAATCGACGACAGGGTCAAAGTTTCATTCGATGACGAATCCGATGGCTGTGAAGAACAAAGAAATCTGAAAGTGAGTTTCTTGGAACTTTTGGAGGTAAATGGTAAATGGTGAAAGAGTGTATGAGAGAGGGATAGGTATGCCTATCAGCTGTTCACATACCCCGATACCATCATGAAAGCAAGAAATTTTCGACTCCTGCAATAAAATCCAGAAAGTGTTAAATCATCTCGTCTAAAAAAGTTAAGATCTCTGGTGTGGACAAGAATTACTTCATTTATTTCATCTCAGACGTGAACGGATTCAATTACCGTTGGAGACATAAGATGTGGAATTTCTATAAACGGGTGACTGTGTCAGTTGAAATCAAAATGCTTTGATTTATCGAGTCTAAAATGATAATGAATTAACCCTAATCCCAACCGCAGAGCAATATAAACAAAACAAAATGGGAAAAATGCACATACACAAAAACAAAAAATTATCGCAAGTTTACCATGAATATGAGAGCTACAACCACTTGCCCATCTGGGCCATCTCAAGTTTATTCTAAAACTCGTGAAGAAGTTTACAATGAAGATAACGTGCCTCTCTCAATCTGTGCATCAAAAAAAGGCTCACCCTAATACCTTTATATATGAATAATGGAGCTTACCAACATCTGGCGCTGTGTGTCCTCCATATTTAACAACCAAATGCTTTGAGATATGAAGTTGATGATGCATTGGGGACGATGTTTTGAACTGAGGACTACTTCTAGATCATCGACTTCAAGCAAATTTTGAAGATCCATTGCGATATCTGAGCCATAAATAATATGGCACTGCATGTAGAAATGTATACGATATACTTGTGTCTTTGACAAAAATGTAACAAAGATTGATATCTGAACTAATACTGTGCATGCCTCAATTATAAAATGACGGGTCCTAATTTTCAATAATATCGAAAACTAATGAAGAAATAGAATGCAGGCAAAGAGAAAGTGTCCTCTGATGCACAAACTAATTTATTTATATTGGCTTCAAACACTCTCTTTACCTGTAGACCATATTCATTTTTTCCATCAAAGGCCTGGCACGAGCACAATATTTAGCCCTTGTTTGGCCCCAATTAAAATTATAATTCATTTTTCTGTTTCTTCTTATCATCCATACATTTTCTATTAAAATAATATTATACGTAATTCCAAAACATTTTCCTTTTAAGCCACGCATTCTTCAAAAAACACTTTTCCAACCATTAGAATTTCAATTAATGGGGGCCAAATGGGTGCTTATAAGTGGGGGGCACTGAGCCTTATACGCAAGATTTCTCTCCTCCCAAACCATATTTAAACCACCTCGTCTAAAATTGACAAACTTGTATTTTTGGGTTGCCTACAAACACATATTTCTAAGATTCTTGAGCTTTGAAAGAAATGCACGTCATCATAAACGGTAGAGATAAAAAAACAAAAAAGTTCACTTACCTTAAGGGCAACTGGAAATGCCATGATATACTGCAAAAGCGCCTTTTTGATCAAAACATCACTTGCACTTCCCACGCTAGCAATAACTTGCCTTGCCAAGTCATTTGTTCCTGCAAGAACCTTAGTCCAGGCCTTCCTCCCTTCCTCGTACCTCGAATACGATGCCTCAGTCCTAAAGACCAACAAAAGTGCCAAGGCCGGTGCTGCCAACTGATAGGGCAAAGAAGAGGCTCTCAAAATGGGGAAAAACTCCGGTAGCCAATGCAATGATACTGCTGAATTATAACTGGCTATAATTACAGCCACTGAAGTAAATGCAATCACTGGAGGAACCAGCGATAAAATCACCCGCGAACTGAGACTCGATAAAAGATGCCTTAAATGCCTTAAGGAGCTTCTGTGCTGCACCCATTTTTCATGGTCATATAAGGACCTTTTCTGTTTCATACCCCTTTCTTTCACACTGTCAGCCCAGTTGGGTATTGCATGAAGAATCGACGACAGGGTCAAAGTTTCATTCGATGACGAATCCGATGGCTGTGAAGAACAAAGAAATCTGAAAGTGAGTTTCTTGGAACTTTTGGAAGGAAATGGATAATGGTGAAACTTGAGGGGTATCCTGGGATTGAAATCGGAAGAATAAAAAGAGAAATTGGCTGGATTTTGAATTGGGTTTTTGCGCATGTTCATTTTTTGAATTCTTGATTAGGGTTTGGAGATTGAAGGAGAAATATTTAGAGGAGAAGGGGACATGACTCTGGTTCAGACCGTAGAAGCGAAATTCTTTATTTTCATTTTCGGAATTGGATAGGTATTTGGAAACGGTTAATTTGTGACTGAGGTTTTTACACACGTTTCAATATTATATGCTGCCTTTTCTTTTATTTTTTGCTTATTGGCACAAAATCTCCATAACTAATTATATACATATCACTATTTTTATCATTTGCACCACATTTTTAATTGTACTTAAATTCTTAATCTTTAACATTATAACACTTATGTCATTAACATTTTCATGTCATTTTTATTCTCAAACTCTTCATTAGCTAACATATTTTATATTTGATAACAACGTGCCTCTCTCAATCTGTGCATCAAAAAAAGGCTCACCCTAATACCTTTATATATGAATAATGGAGCTTACCAACATCTGGCGCTGTGTGTCCTCCATATTTAACAACCAAATGCTTTGAGATATGAAGTTGATGATGCATTGGGGACGATGTTTTGAACTGAGGACTACTTCTAGATAGACATACTAACTAATGAAAGGTTTAAGATAAGAATTTAAAGAAAAAATAAACAAAATAATTGCTATAATGAGCAAATATTGAAGAGATAAGTTGCAATAAAATGTGATGTATCAAATAAAAATTGTGATGACAATATATCTACACATCTCCATATTCTTTGGACTTATTGTGAAAGATATACTTGTGTCTTTGACAAAAATGTAACAAAGATTGATATCTGAACTAATACTGTGCATGCCTCAATTATAAAATGACGGGTCCTAATTTTCAATAATATCGAAAACTAATGAAGAAATAGAATGCAGGCAAAGAGAAAGTGTCCTCTGATGCACAAACTAATTTATTTATATTGGCTTCAAACACTCTCTTTACCTGTAGACCATATTCATTTTTTCCATCAAAGGCCTGGCACGAGCACAATATTTAGCCCTTGTTTGGCCCCAATTAAAATTATAATTCATTTTTCTCTTTCTTCTTATCATCCGTACATTTTCTAATAAAATAATATTATACATAATTCCAAAACATTTTCCTTTTTAGCCACGCATTCTTCAAAAAACACTTTTCCAACCATTAGAATTTCAATTAATGGGGGCCAAATGGGTGCTTATAAGTGGGGGGCACTGAGCCTTATACGCAAGATTTCTCTCCTCCCAAACCATATTTAAACCACCTCGTCTAAAATTGACAAACTTGTATTTTTGGGAGTTAAAATTATACACAACTAACTTGTTACGTGTACAATTTTTTTTTTAAAAAAAAAATCAAAATATTATGAAGAAGATAAGAGAAGTTTGTTTATATGACGAAATTAAATATCATTTTCCTGATTATATGCAATTGTTGCATACTCGTATTCGAAAATGAGCTTCTTACCAATTTGTTATATGCATCAATGCTTCTAAAATATCTTCTTTGAAACTGTTTCTGGCCTCAGACTAAGCTCACTTACCTATATTAAAAGCAAACTACGAGCTATAGTATAAATCAGAGGTGTTAGTAGATCTTTTGTAATGGCAAAACTAATAAGATATTTTTGTTCGTTAGGCAAAGAAGAGGCTCTCAAAATGGGGAAAAACTCCGGTAGCCAATGCAATGATACTGCTGAATTATAACTGGCTATAATTACAGCCACTGAAGTAAATGCAATCACCGGAGGAACCAGCGATAAAATCACCCGCGAACTGAGACTCGATAAAAGATGCCTTAAATGCCTTAAGGAACTTCTGTGCTCCACCCATTTTTCATGGTCATATAAGGACCTTTTCTGTTTCATACCCCTTTCTTTCACACTGTCAGCCCAGTTGGGTATTGCATGAAGAATCGACGACAGTTGTCCGACTAATGTTTGAATCCATACGTGATGCATGAAATTCATACATTGAAGTTAAAGTGGTTTCTAAATTTGAATACGTGATAGGTTGGTCAAAATTTAAACAATTTGTGATTTGTCAGATAACATATTTAGAGCCTGTTTGGGCCCCATTTTTTCATCCAAAAAATTGATTTTTTGACTGTTATTTCACTATTCCAGCCGTCATATTTGACTTCTTCTTTCACAGGTGGACCCCACTTTTCTCCTAACGATCAAAAAATCAATTCTCAAAATCACTCTCAAACAGGCTCTTAGTACATCTAAATTGTATCTGGGTTCCATTATGCTTGTCAAAGGAAATAACATTGGCAAGTCTTCCTAGTGGGGAAATGGAAAATGGTGAAATTTGAGGGGTATCCTGGGATTGAAATCGGAAGAATAAAAAGAGAAATTGGCTGGATTTTGAATTGGGTTTTTGCGCGTGTTCATTTTTGAATTCTTGATTAGGGTTTGGAGATTGAAGGAGAAAAATTTAGAGGAGAAGGGGACATGACTCTGGTTCAGACCGTAGAAGCGAAATTCTTTATTTTCATTTTCGGAATTGGATAGGTATTTGGAAACGGTTAATTTGTGACTGAGGTTTTTACACACGTTTCAATATTATATGCTGCCTTTTCTTTTATTTTTTGCTTATTGGCACAAAATCTCCATAACTAATTATATACATATCACTATTTTTATCATTTGCACCACATTTTTAATTGTATTTATTATTTTTTTTTTAACGAGGTGTCCCAGCTTGCGCCAGACTATATCCTCGTCCCTGAACCTCCGGCCCCTCAGCAGCTCAACTTATGTCATTAACATTTTCATGTCATTTTTATTCTCAAACTCTTCATTAGCTAACATATTTTATATTTGATAACAATTTTATATCCAAAATCTATTGAAATAGAATAAAACAACTTATTTTTAAAGAAATAAAAAGTGAAAAATATATTGTCGTCATTCCAAAGCATGATAACGAAATATTTTGATATAAATCATCATCAATGACAAGACATACTAACTAATGAAAGGTTTAAGACAAGAATTTAAAGAAAAAATAAACAAAATAATTGCTATAATGAGCAAATATTGAAGAGATAAATTGCAATAAAATGTGATGTATCAAATAAAAATTGTGATGACAATATATCTACACATCTCCATATTCTTTGGACTTATTGTGAAAACTTTTACTCCTTTCCCAAAGGGAGCCTCTTCACTGCCTTCCACAACTTGCCTGCCAAGATAAATCTTGCCTTCCAAATTGTGCCTTCCAGGAATCGAACTCCCCACGCTTGCTTCCAGAGCCCCCCAATATGATTGTTCCGCCAACTTAGATGTGCCTCGGAGGGCTACTTTTGAAAAGTTCTTGCAATGACAAAAAGATGTTCAAGAACTCTTGAACTAGTGGAGTAGTATATCTCATATAAGATATTTGTGAAATCAGAAAAACTTGTCAAAAATCTTTTAACTTTAAATGTTAGTTGCCAATCAGAATCAAGCAAAATAAAATCTTCTTCATTTCTTACATCTCTATTGTTATAAAATTCAACAATTAAATGTTCATATTGTAACACTCCAAATTTTTAATTTTTCCACGTGGGCTGGTAATTTAGTAAATAAAATAATCCATGTCCAACATTGTCGTCACACTAAAGTCGAAAAGTCAAAGTGATAAACACGTCCCACTTATTTGCATAAATGGTTTATTACGCAAACGTATATTTTTAATTTATCGTAACTTATTTGGGTCGAATATTTAAGTATTTTAAAAGTTATTAAAAAATATATATCGATATTANTGTTTGAGAAATTTCTTTTTTTATATCATCCCACAAATCATATTTTCATATTTTTGGCGTCAATTGAGGTAAGAATACATGGTACAAGTGGTAAAATCTTATTATTGATATTTATGTAAATTTGACATGAAATACTATAAAGCCTTCGGGGTCGAATTTTATGTTAAATCTTTCGGGATGGATCGTTAGGTCAAAGAAAAGAAGTTAAATTCTATGGGATATGGGGATTTTTAAGAAATTCCTTGAGCTATTGAAATCGCGACAAGTTGCTCTAAATTTAAGAAATGTCGATATGTTATGCCATATTATGTTTATATCATGTTATAAGAATATACACGTATTTTTACTGAGTATTTTCAAAATATTCACTCTTACAATACTTTTCAGATTAGAACGGATCGTGTGGACGAGTGGAAGATTGACCGGAGATGTTTATGGGGTTATCAAGTAAAATTTTTAGAAAATAATCGTCAAATTATATTTTAAAGAATATCATTATTTTAATTTTTATGCATGGTATTTAATATTTTTCTTAGAGTACGAGTATTCGATACTTTATGTTAAATTTTAAATTTACAGTTTGGGATGGGATATTTCAAGATTTTATTCTAGATCATTATTAAATTGTCGACCACATTTTGATCACTAAAATAAAAAGTTATTTTTTCGCTTAAATTAGATAGAGAAAAGTTTTGATAGCACCTTGAGCTTATTTTAATTTAAAAATAATATAATAAAATGAAAAAGAGTTTGAGGCGTTACTGAATGGTATCAGAGCACGAGTTTAGTCAATTCTGTAGACTCTTCATTTATTTTTTTCAAAATATATGTATATTTTTTTTCATCATGTTTAAGTGTGATTTACATGTATAAATTTTTCTTAGAATAATAATTTATTTTGAAAACTTAGTAGTCTGCATGAAAAAAAATGTGTTATATTAATATTTTCAAGAGGAGACTTAATTGCATAGTTAATAGAAGGTAATTGTCTCTGCCTAAATGTAATTTTTTACGTGCCTAAACGTAATTTTTTTATGTGATATTAGTATTAATGAATTTATATCATTTTTACCAACTTCCTACAAGGTTCATAGTAGTCAAAGATTTTGATTTGTTGGGAAGTGTGTGAAAAAAAAAACCTAAACGATGACAATTCTAAGTACTGAAAATATATA